CACAGTCTATCCCCACTCTGTTGTCGGTGCCTGTGGGTCCTCCATTCATGTGCCTTGACTTGATCTTTCTGCTTCTTTCCTCCCCATCATCCACCTCCACCCCCTCTGGCTACCCGTCGGTTTGTTCTTTATTGTCCTGACTCTGGTTCTATTTGCTTGTTTGTTCGTTTTGTTGCTTAGATTTCACTTACAGGCAAGACCATGGGGGTGTGGCCAGAGCCAGCTTGTTAGCTGAAAGCTTGAAATCATCTGTGAGGGGAATTTTTATACCATGGAAATTAGCTAATGCTACAAATTAGGATTTTTTTTCCCCTCAGAAAGCTGCTTTTCAGCCCTCCACTGGAGATTTATTGCTCACCCCTTTCTCCCCAAGACGCTGGTGTGTGATCATAGAAATGGAAAATAATTGGGCTGTCAGAATGATTCATTCTTTCAATCCTGACTCTGCATGTTAGGCCGAAATCTCTTTCCTTAGGGATCTCTCTCCTTGAAAGGCTCCTAGATTCTTAATCAAAACAGTATCCGTGTGGCTCCCTCTACCCCAGGAGGGGTCCCACATTCTCTCTGTCCTACAAATGGAGTTCACACAATTTGGGCTGTAAGTCTCGTACCACTGTTACACTCTTGGTTTTCTCAGGAAGATACGTGCAGGGTCCTTTTTGTGTACCTGCATCCCCAAACACATATCTTCCAAATCTTCCAATTTCCCACACATGCCTTCAAAGAAATGAAGAAAGAAAGAAAGAAAGAAAGAAAGAAAGAAAGAAAGAAAGAAAGAAAGAAAGAAAGAAAGAAAGAAAGAAAAAGAAGAAAAGGAAAAGGAAAAGGAAAAAAAGAGAAAAGTCCCTCAAAGTTCGGGATCTCAGTCTAGGGTAAGCAGCTAGTACCACACTTTCATTAGAACCGCAGCGAGCGGTTTACCAGCCCACTAACCGCTTTCTGCTCTGTCTCCTTCCACTTCCCACGCCACGCATGTCGGGGTGGCTGAATGGGATGAGGAAGTCACTTTGGCACTTGTGTACTGAGATACTTTAGTACTGGGAAGAAATAACTAGAAGCATAGTAGTTTTTTATAAGAACAATTTGATACAACTTAGTTCTCTTGAACTCTTCAATAGGCTTTATATCTTAAGACATGCCTTGAGATATTACAGAAAAGCTAAAGTGTTTTTTGCTTAAGTTAAGCTAATTAAAACCTTTAGAAATTCAATATTCCATTTTTTATGACCTCAGTTAAATGCCTTAATTGTATTAAGTCAGTCTTCAAAATGAATCACTCTTTAAACTGAATGAGACTCCCAAGTATTACAAGTTGACTATGAAACTTACCCACTCCGGCAATATAATAGGGTTACTAAAAATAGGGTTAATGCCTTATTTTTAAGGTTCCCTTGGAGAAGAAACACCAAGGTTCCTGCAATTTCTTTCCCCTTTAAAAAAATTATTTATTTAATTGTTGTTCAAGTACAGTTTTCCATTTTTTACTCCCATCCCAGCCCACCCCCCCCAGTGCTCCCCACCTCCCTCCCATTTCTACCTCCCTTAGATTTTGTCCATGTGTCCTTTATACTAGTTCCTGTCTTTCTCCTTTTTAAAAATAGTTACAATAATTCCCACTCTTTACTCTGAATGTACTGTACAATATGAAGCAACCTCATGCTTCTCCCCAAAAGGCAGGTAGTTGAACTCTGAACCCCTGATGGTATTAACCAGTACAGTACAGGGGACCTCCATGCTCATAACCTGCTATTCTCATAATGATCGGCATCTTCACAAATAAAAATCCGTGTCACCAACAATAGCTTGGTAGGAGTTCATGTTTTTGACAGAATTACTGCACAGCCCCTTCGTGCCACGCACCGTTCTATATGCATCAGGGGTGAGGTGATAAATGAGACCCTCCTGGTCCTCAGGGTGTGTCCGTCATGGGGAGAAAGAGAAACATCAAATGTGCACAACGCAGTGTGTGAGGACCTGAGTAGAGGAAAGTGCAGCGTGGGTCCCAGGCCAGAGGAGGGGCACTAACCTACCTGGGAACTAGGACAAGAAAGTTTATCAAAATTTGTGCAGAATGACGTTGGCCACTAATAAGCTGGGCTCAAAGCAGTTTCCACACCTGGTCAAAAGAGCAGGCAGAATTAAAGTGCATAGGCATTGTCGATAGCTAATCGGCCCCTCCTATCACCGTGCTCCTCAGGGTTGGTGCCATTGCCACAGATGACGAGGACGGGATGGAAGTGTATTCGGTATTTGCAGTGGAGGCCAAAGAGACTATCTGGTTTGTGTTCTAATAGCCCTCTAATTTCCAAAGAGGTGCGGTATGTAGTTATATTAAATTATCTCTTAGCTTTCTGTACACTCAGAATGATAGTTCCTAACTTTTTGAAACTGTGAACTTTCTTTCCTCCTGACATTAGGATTGAGCTCATAATCTATATTTAAAATAAATGTATTCCTCGTCAAGCTTTTCAGAAATACATGACTGTCTAAGTACAATGTGGTAAGACCACTCCACATGTACGTGGTTGAATAAACTCTCCTAGAACACTCTGGAAAAAGCATTTGGAATAGATGTCGATCCCCTGCTTAGTTCATTAGAGTAAAAATCTCCTTTTACTAGACTTGCATTCTTTCTGCAGTGATAGATTCCCAAAAGATGATTTTCAAATAGTGCAAACACTTTTTGTTCTTTTTTTCCTTAATGGTTTTGGAAGAATACATTGTTTCTATATATAAGTCAAGTATGTTTTCTTATCATGTATTATTTTAAGCATTAATTATCCTTTAGTTATTTACCTAGCTTTATTTCTCCCAGGACTGATTTCTTCTTTAAAAAAAAAAAGCATTAATTCTAGTCATTTTGGAAATGACCTAACAGTCATTGAAAATACTTTGAGTCTGTTTTAACACGTCATGGGGAACTGCTCAGGAAGTCTTCATAATGAACTAATGACCTAGTTAATTCTCTTTGATGTACAAAGTACAGTTAAACAGGTGATTTCTGAGGTCTTGTCCTTGTAAATCTTATTTTTACTATCTCTGGCCTAACAATAACTCCAAGAAAAAGTCCCACCTAGAAAAACCTTATTCCTAGATTTTTTTTTATAGTAGGAATTAAAGGCAGGTGTGGACGCAGACCCTTATCAAGTGACCTGTCCCCCAGAGGACAACTGAGAGGAAGCCTGCCCTAAGGTGCCTTAGCAAGTCTTCACACTTGAAGGGTGGCTGTGATTTCTTCACTAGCAGCTTATTAGACTTACTAAGATTTTGAAAGGAAATCATTTTTAAACAGCAGTTTGCACGAGATTCAAGGGGCTTAAAAAGAACTCGATGGTGAGGCTTGTGCAATGCTGAACTGTGTGTCTGAGGGGGACTATGGCACTAGCTACTGAGGAGTCTTTAAAAGAACAATCTGCATCCTTTTAATAATGGTAGCGCCATACAGGGGCGGTTCTTCAGGAAGCAGGGAAATGCAGAGTGACTGCTCAGGGGTTCTTTAATTTTGAAATTCTATGACAAGTGAACCCCTTTTTTTAAAACGCAGTTTACAGCAAGACTCAAGGCCCAGTGTATTCAACTTACTTAACAGGCTTATAAAAATCTGCGTGGTTACTTCTAACAAAAGCTAGCAAGCGTAAGCAAGGCAGGAGTCTGGAAATTGTTCTCAAGTTAGGGGTTAGGCCTTGTACTCAGTGGTTTCTGAACCTCAAGTTGCTATGTGAACTCCATTCAGAACCATAACGTTGCCAAATGAAGAAAGTGCTATTACCCAAGCCCTCCATACACACGTACTTGTTACCATAAAAACCTGACAAGCAGAGAGGGCTTTGTCCCATTTAATGGGTTGACAGTGTTTGCCGTGCAGCTGGAATTTCATACCATGCTCAGTCCCAGCATCCTGAAAAACTGGGAGTTTTGCGAAAGGCTGTATCTCAGAAAAGTTACTACTTCAAACAGATGTGCCATTTTATAAAAGTACACCTACTGTATCAGAAAAAAATGTCCTTTAGTGTCAGTGACATTTATGAGCCATTTATAGGGAATAGGACATTCTGACATAGCAAGGGAGGTGGTTTCGAAAGCTGAGGGTGTTCTCTGAACGATACGCATGATAGAAGATACTTGCATGGGAAGAGACTCTCCATTAATGGGTAGTTTTCCTGTATGAATGAAACCTGCATTATTATGAAGACAGTAATTACCTATAACATTAATAAGGTTGTCAAAATACTCATGCCTGCAAGCATCTTTAGTCATGGATTTTCACCTTGTTAGAGTTGGACTTTGTGGGTCCTTAGGCCAATGCTCTTCTATCTTACCTATGCGGAAATGGGCTGAGGTGTGGAGCTTCTAGTTAGAACCAGAAATAGAATTCTCCGACCTCTTCTCCAGTTCTCCATCCAGAGAAAAAACTACTTTCTTGCTGCCTCTGGACACATGGAACCATGGCTTAATTTACTCTTCCTAATAAAGGTACATTTCAAATAACATTTCTCTAGCAAAGCAATCGCCAAACTATAGAAGGAAATTTAAATCAAGATCGAGGGTGGAATTGGTTGCATATATCAGGGCAAATTTCAGCTCTTGGTCAAGAAGTGACCTCAGATCTGAGGCTGCAGAGATTGCCCAAACCACATTCTTCTAGGCTTCCTTTTCAAGAGCACCGCAAGATTGCTCTTCTCCAGGACTGAGATACAGAGAGGAATCCAAACCCCTAACTTTCCCTTGGAACTTCTCTGCACCTTGGTGTAGAGATAAGTGATAAAAAGCCAGGAAGCTAGAAGCTTGCTGAATTGCTTAACAGATTGAGCGACACCCTTGGCTGGCCTTTCCAGGGGCAGGGTGTGGGGGCGCGCTGGGACGTTTGCCAGCTCCTTCCAGTGCCAGCGAACTTGGGGAGTGGGGTCCTGAAAGGAGGTCCTTAAAGTTGGCTGAAGCAGATGAGGGAGGCAGGCGCTGTGGCAGAAAGTACAAGGCAAATAGCCAGCAACGTGACCCACCTGTGGCAGGGGTGCTTCCAAGCTGCTACGGTCTAGGAGAGTTGCAGCTTGGCCCGCAGCTGGCTGGGCTGGGTGGGCGATACTTCGCAGAGCTGCAGCTCAGGGCTGAGGCTCACACTTCTCACCGGTATAAGAAGGCAGAGAGGGGAGGGAGGGGAGGGAGGGCCCGAGGGAGGGCCCGCTAGATTTCGCAAGAGAAGTGGTGAAGTAAAGCATTTCCAGGAAGACTTCAAATTGGGAATCCCGGGCGGCAGGACGGACCAGAACTTCCTGTTCTGCCACTGCAGTTTTTGCTACACATGCTGCCGCTAATCTCTGGCTAGTGAGGTTTCTAAGGGTTTTCCCCAGAGCCCTTGGGATCTGTGCATCCCAGGCAGGGCGGGGCTCAGAGGCGCTGAAGAGGACGTCTTTATGAAGGTTCTCTTGGAGTAGCCGGGAAACACCACCTAGTCTAGGCTTCTAGGTATTTCTCTTCTTGCCTTCTTGTCTAAATTGAGACAAGCAATTTACTGTAAAAGGCAAGAGTGTTCTCCCTCTGCCTGGAAGCCCTGGGCTCTTATGGGGCTCAGCTTGGATGATCTTGATGTTTTAATTTAGGTAGAATTAAATCATAAAAAAAAAAACACAACCAAATGAAGGATAAGGGTGATGATGAGGATACCTTATTGTTGATATATAACTATATAATATTGCATAAAAATATGCAATAATATACAGGGTCTGGCAGTAGTAATGCCTTGTGTGTGGTTGGTAGGGTAATGATACAGAGGTAATAATTTACAGTTTTAATTTGAACATTTTTCCTACAATGTCATATGGTGTGCTTGAATGTGATAGTGTTATGTTACAGAATTACATGCTTATGATTTTGTAATAAAAGATTTTGTAATAAAAAAGGGGTGTTATTTGTACCAGACCCTGCATATTGTATGATTGGACTAAAATCTCTTTCTATATTGGGGGAGCTCAAAAGCCACAGCTATTGTGGTTTAAGATTTAACTAATGATGATAATCTAAGAGGCAAAGCACCCCTGCACTCCCAAACTCTGGCCTAGAGCCCAGATTCCTCCCAGGCTGCCTCTCACCCAGCCATCTGGCCTTAAGTTCCATGGCACACTTGCCAAGGTCCAGATGTCCAGCCACATGGGAGGCCTGTTCCAGCACTTTTGAGCCAACCTTCCCTTTGGCTGGATTGCACCTCTCCCCAGAGCATCTCATGGAGTCAGCTCAGAGTCCATGTCTTCCAAGAAGTTTTCTCTGAGTCACTAGTTGCAATTAATCTTTTCTATTCCCATGTAGTATAGTTTGTGCTTTTACTACAGCAATAGGACACATTGCCTCTTAACAGAGTTATTGTGTGAGTATATCCTGTCCTGTACTGCAGGCTCTGGTGGTTGACACCCTACCCTTTCCAGCCTGGAATTTTCCACCACGCCTAGCACAATGCTCAATATATATATTGCACTCACTGACAAGTATACTTCCAATTAGCATATTATCACTTGCCAATAAAAGGTCTTCTGATAGTATTCCTTGGGCAAGGAAGAACTTAAAAGGTATTTATTGATTTTATACCAGCAATCTCCCCAGTTTGAAGGCTGACATGGTGAGACAAGGACATGTAACTAGGAAATATAAGGCCCCTGGGGTATCCCTAAGAGGCCTCAGATTTTGTCAGCACAGTTTTGTGACTACCTCTGGTCTAGCATGTGGCTCTAAGCCTTGTGGGCACAGAAGCTGGATTCTTAGTGTACCGAATCCCATACTAAAACCAGGATGCTGATTTGTTAGTTGTCAGTGGAATATCAGCAAATGGGTACTGTGAAATCACAGCATGAGACATTCTAGCCATGACATCCTCTTTGTAGACACAGCCCGTGGAAGCCATTTTGTGCAGACGGCTGCTCTCTAAACAGGGGAGTGAGTTGTAAATTCCAAGGTTGCACATCCATTGCATCCTGGAGCTATATGTGCCAGCAGAAGCAAACAGCTGGAGTCTGGGCCAAGGTCACTCTGGTTTCTGAGTTACGTTTATACCCATTATAAGCTGACTTAATGAACAATCATATTTCCACATGTGGCCTCCAACTAATAATAGAATCATTGCTTTATATAGTTATCATTATTAGGTGGACAAAATATTTTAAAACCTAATTATTATGAGAGGCAAGTATATTTCAATTATGTAAGCTTTTTTCTTTGGCAAAGGCAACTAGAGTCCCAGAAAGAGAAAATTAAGTTACTGGTATATGAAGGAGAAAAAAATTTCTTTATCAGTACCAAACTTAAGAAGTATTTGACTTATTTATCTTGTGGTGTAGCGATGATTATTCCCTTGGTCCCAGGAGGGACACATAGTTCATAACTCTCCTAGTGTGTCCTTAAACCTGTGCTGAAGGGGAAAATTAAACTTTCAAAGATGCCAGCAACCCAAATACCCAAGTATTTGCCTTGGCAGGATTCATCTTTCTCCCCGAAGCCTTACCAGAACTCTGGATAAGCCTTCTCAGATGTTGCACATCAACAAAGAATTCCTATTTAGGGATTTCCACATTTTCTGTGCCCTGAGTCTTTCTTGCTACATCCTTACTCTCAAAATTGACCCTACGTAAACCAGAAAATGAATGTCTCCTTCAATATTGCCCCCAAGGGGCTTCCCTGACCTCCTCTTGTTCCAGCCTTGTGGGATCCATTTGCCTTTTTTCTAATCATATTTTCATTTTTCTTTGAGAAATACTCTTGCACAATCTCAGTCCTTGCAGTCCAGGTGGAAGAGACAGCACTGTTGAGCTTTCAGGAATAGACCCATGACTTAGGCCTGACCATTCAAAGCACACAGCCTTGTCCACAGTGATTGGTTCAGTGATGACATGTGACCTAAGCTGGGCCAATAGGAATCTTTCCTGTAACAACCCAGAAAGAAATACGCTCTTCAAGAAGGGTTGTTAAATTCCTACAATATAAACCAGCTAGCTGTGAGGAGAGAGCCAGTCCAAGGAAGAAGCCACTTCAAGGGAAAGGAGAACAAAGAGATGGGAAGGACAGATTTCTGAAATTGTTGGAACTCCATACTTGAAGAGGGCTCTATAGTTACATGAGTCAATAATTTGGTGTCTGTTATTTGTATAGTCCTGCCTAATAAAATGGGATTGGGCAGAACGAGAAGGGCACCTTCTCAGTCTTGCTTCTCCAATTATACTACCCACTAAGGTGGCTTCGTCACAGTGTGCAATCAGAATGAGAATGCAATTTGTTGTTAAAAACATGTTTTTTTGGTGTTCTTGTAGCAGGTGTGGAATTTGGGTACACATTAGATTTTTTTCCCTTTATTTTTGTTGTTCACATTGTACAGATGTCTTCATTTCTGTCCTGCCCCACCCCCCACCTGCTTCCACCCAGCCCCCGCTCTCTGGCCATTACCACACTGCTGTCTATGCTTTATGTCTATATGTTCATTGGCTGAAGTTTCTCAACAACAACTTCTCTTCCTCTTTCTCCTTCATCCTCACCTGAGGACATTCCCCCTCCCCCACTGCTTTTAGAAACAGAGGAAGGGAGAGAGGAAAGGACAGAGAAAAACACAGATGTGAGAGAGGAGCAATGATTGGTTGCCTCCCCTATGTGCCCAAAGCAGTAGGGACTGATCCCGAAACCTAGTATTGTGCCCTGACCTGACTGGGAATCGAACCCTCAATCTTTGGGTTATGGGATGACGCTCCAATCAACTGAGCCCCACTGGCCAGGGCAGAATTTTCTCAGCTTCCTGCTAGTAGGCTCGGAAATTTAATTTCTTGTCCCAGAAAACTTCTTTTCCTACTACTTTCCTACTCTATGGGAAATGAGCTAAGAGAATCCCCTTACCCCTGCAGGACTGTGAAATTGCAAAAGGTATAGTAAAGAAACCCAGGCCATTAACCCGGCTTTACCCAGTTTCTAGGATTCCTGCCAACACAGAGCAGGAAGCAAATTCAAACAACATTTCGACACCCACCTGTACCTAAAAAAAGTCCTGATGGGAAAGTATGCCAGACACTGGCAATATTGGAGGTTGGGTTAGGGATGATGTCAGGCATGGCAATCAAGAATCTAAAAATAAGACATGCCTTAAAGAACCTAACTCTGTCACTAGAAATTCAAGAGAAGGTTAAAGTGGAAAAGTTGACTATTTGTGTAAGATGAATGAATAAAAATATTTTAGAGTCACCGACTAGAAGTGAGAGGAAGTTACTTCTGGGAATTGGAAATGAGCAAAAAAAAAAACAAAAAAACAACAACAAAAAAAACAAACCCCTGTCCTCTTTATCTTATCTCTGACTCTCTGAATCTCAAAGTCTTTGTTAACTTTGGAAGTTCCTGGGGTAAGGGCAGGCTATGGACTGACTGATCACCACTAGAAACCTGGACGTTACCCAAGAGAGATCTGGTGACCTCAGAAAAGATGTTATGATATTATCAAAGAACATGATGTTCAAAATAGTTTGAAAAGATGGAGAAATATTTTAGTTAAGCTGATTCAACCATGGGTGATGGTTACTGTTACTACTGTATTATTGGTAAACAGTTCCAGCATCCTGCCAATCTCTGCCGAGTGCCAGTAAGGAAGATTTGGTAGGATTTCCACATACAAAGGAGGGGCCAAAAAATTAGAGTGAACCTAGCTTCATTCTTTGACTTGTTCACCTTCCAACAGAATTAGAAATGAGGTGAGTATAAAGTAGGTCCTAAGAGGAACAGAAAATGATAAGAATAATGAAATAATTCTTAAAGGTGAAAATTTCATTTTAAAGAATTAATTAAAATATCTGAAAAGTTGATGCACAGGTGGAAAATTCAAGCTATGAAGGGGATTCATTAAGAAGTTTTTTTTCCCCAGACACTAAGTTCTCCTGCCTGGAAGCAACCACGCTACGATTTACTGGGCTCCTTACACAGGCAGGCTATGTGTATAAAAGCAGATGTTCTTAACAAATACAAGTGGGAGCTAGTGAAGGGTGTCAAATGTATGAGTATGATGATGGAAATAGATTTGACTTCAGGTGAGGAACACAGTGCAACATACAGATGATGTATCATAGAATTGTACATTTGAAACCTACATTATTTTATCAACCAATGCCACCCCAA